GATTTATTTGATTGAGCTTTACACCAAAACTGTTTCTGGCCAACAAAGAAAACAAGACTCCTGGCACGGACCCCGAATTCGCGCATCCATTTCCAGGATCCTTGCCACTTCTTTTTGTTCACTTGACCGGCTCCAACTCTGAGAAGGACATCCTCGGCTGGTTCCAACCGCTATCCAAACAGCACCCCAGCACCCGAGCCGAATGCGAGAGCCAAGTGCTCCGAGATCCGAGGGTTGCACATCTTCGCTGCTCCTCCTTCTCCGCAGCCTAACGTGCGAACAGCCCGAGGCTGCTGCCTCGTGTTGCCACTTATTGCCCAGCGACCATGAACAAAAGAGTTTACTCATAGGGGCTCCCAGGGCATGCGTCCAAAGGCGAGAGGAAACACACACCTGTTTTGCTGGTTGATGCTCTTTGCAAAAACCTTGCGGCAAACCCAAAAAGGAGGACTTGCACGCCGGCGACAAACTAAGGCCAAGCCAAAGGGAATCGAGATCGGGTTCCCGTTGAAACGACGCCTGCCTTAACGTCCTTCTGCTCTTGTAGCTGCCTGGTGAGGAAGGCCACCTCGGAACTAAGTGTGTGGCTGCTGCTGGATGAAATTTTGTCTGAATGTGTGCCTTTTTGAGGCGCTGTTCATCTCCGGCTAGAAATCAGCTTGGTTGGAACTGTTCAAAATAAGGGACACCCACACCCAAACTTAGTGCTTCGCTGCTGGTTTCCCTTTAAACCAAGCTGAAAAGGGTATATACCTTAAAAAAGACACACACACACACGCACGCACGCACGCACATATATATATATATATATATATATATATATGGTACCCCCCCCCCCCATGGACCCTGGTTTGGTGCGGTTGACCTGTATTTTCCAGTGTTTTATGCTTCTTTTTGCTTCTTGGATTTGTGTCAAAATTGGGGGGAGGGTCGTACATGTATATGATACGCATGCATGCATACAGATGTGATAAAAGCAATGACATCAGCACCTGCAATCTGAAAGAGTTTGAATGCATCCAAGAATACAAGAACAACTCAGACATTTTTAAAAATTAGTAAAAAAAAACCTGGGATTCAAGATTCAAGATTCAAGAATGTGAGAAAATATTTTCTGGGAATCTTGAATCTTGAATCCCAGAATTTTTAAAAATTATTAAAAAATATGGATTCAAGATTCAAGATTCAATAATCTGAGAAAATATTTTCTGGGAATCTTGAATCTTGAATCCCATATTTTTTAAAAAGTTTTAAAAATTCCAGGGTTGTCCCAATACTCTCGGTGTTCAATAAGATTCTCGGAAAAGTTTTCCGTGAAATAGTTCAATCCAGTGGTAACGGATGTTCAAGGTGATAGAACAACTTGAACATTTTAGGGGTTGACCAGGATGGATGATTCTCAGGAAAGTGGTGGTTTGTGGGCTCCTCAATATTGAATCCCCAATCCAGTGGTAAAGCACTTTCAAGTGTTAGAAGAGCTTGAATGCTATTTGGGTTTGGCCAGGATTGACAATTCTCAGGAAAGTGTTCTGTGTAATCTTCAATATTGAATCTTCCATCCGATAGTAGCAAATTTTCAAGTGCTTAGCGATCCAGTAAACACACGTTCAAGTTATTGGTTAGACAAACTTTCAAGTGCTTTTGGTGAGCTTCATGTCAGCTATGCTCATGTTGACCCCTTTCCAGGAGGTAAACAAAGGCAGGTGCAACGCTCAAAAATACTGCATTTTCCAGTATTTTATGAGGAGGCGCAGGATCATTGGGGGTACTATATATGTGTGTATGTATGTGTATCTATAGATATACATATGTATGTACGTTCACACACCGTCCCCCACCCTCTTCAACTACCTGTCCACATTTGCTCATCTACTACCTCCACCTTTTGACATAGAATTAACTTTCCTGCGCAAATAGAACTTTAAATACAACGGTTTAGCTAGAATCCCTGTTTCGAGATAGTTTTAGATTTTGAACCTCTCTTCCCTTGAAATTTCCCTTTGGAACACCGTCTAACAAGTTCAATGTCGGACCTTTCTTATGCTACAAAAGGGCCAGAATGTAAACAACACAAATCCTATTTTTAATTTCCAAATGTTTAGCCATATTTAATATGAATTATATTTGAGATGTAGTCTCTATTCACTTGATATTATCAAAAGCAAATTGAGTTGTGGTCGTCTTACATTATACTTACCACTTGGATTATATTTGGGAAAAAGCTTCCATCTAACTTCTTGTGTTATAGATTAGTTGGAGTTTAGCCGAAAATATATATTTACATTTTCATGTAGCTGCTATTTGGAAAGGATTTGCTTGTTTAAGCTGTAATTGAACATAAACACATTTTTGAAAACTATATCCATACTAAACTATATTCAAAATTCCAATTCTAGTTGAAGTACCATCTTATGTGCAAAGGGTATCATACTGGGACCCTATGGAGGACTCCGGGCTCCAAATTATCACGCTTTGGGGACCCACAATTGGAAATTTCGAGAATATAAATTTGGAAGTTCTAGATTTGCCATCCCCAAAAGGCAGCAAAACCAGGGTCCATGGGGGGGGGGGGTTGCTTATATATACATATATATATATATGTCTATATAGATATATATGTAAATATATATATATATGGGACTATGCGTGTCCCGAAGGCTCCATGATGGTCCACGTGGTTTCCCGTCGTAGTGATCCAAAGCAGCCATCTTTGCAACCGGAACGCTGAAATACCTGATTCTCCGTTGCCTCAAGTGAAGTGCTTGCTCAGAACAACATTCCCAAGTGGAGGCAGATCCTGCACGGTTGTAAAGGCAAATCAAAGTTGGGCTCAGTGACAGTCGCTCACCCACAAAAGAAACACCAAAAACATAGAACACCTAACCTTGCATAGACGCTGAGAACTCCCCAAAACAAACGAACGCCGTGCTTTCCAAAAGGGCCCCTACTCGCCTGCGCATCATGCTGACAAGGGGCGCCGTCCATGTGCATTTGCTTTGTCCGATGTTTCCTGGCACAGGGCGCGGCACTGGCGCAAGGGGCCAGGGATTCCCTGAAAGGAAATTAGAAGGGATACTTCATACGGGTTCCCTGCCGAGAACCAGCAAAAGCATCGCAACAGCCCAACAAGTTGCAACCAACATCCATATGACTGACCTGTGGCAAATTCCTGAGTGGATTGGCCAGGCAAGCCGAAACTTTGCTTCCCACCAATTAACTTGTCTTCTGACCAAAGTGCAAAGTCCAGCAACTTGCACGCATTTGGGGCCTTGACTAGAATGATGAAGAAACCAGTCAACAGCATGATGCCCCATTCTCATAGTTTTTGTGGCAAATTCCCGACAAAGAAGGAAAGTGCGACTAGTAGAGTGGTCCTTTTGCAGGTTTGCTGCAAAGGCCTGAGCGTTAGAGGGTAGACATTTTGCTGGCAAGGGAAAACAAGAGTGGTTCGGAGAACCCCCTTCGCCCCCTTTCTTGAGACATCTTTACCTCCAAGAGGTATCACAGAGAGCCCAGGCTTTCTGCGAGGTCGAAGGATGTCTGGGACAACCGTGGTAAGAAATTGCCAGAACCGTGCCTTGCGACTTCGTTGTGGCAACAGGATTTGCAGTCAGCTACACGAGTATGCCGCAAACATGGTCTTTGTTTGATGTTGGCTTTTCCAAGCAAAGCTAAAAAAAGGGGCACCCTCGAGAAAAGCGCGCACACAAATGTGCAGCCGCGTGCAAGCTCTTGCAACAACACATGCTGGACGCCTGATGTTTATGTTTGATCACTTGGTCGTCAGATCTGTGAACCCTCAAAGCGCCATCAGCAAGATGGCTTTCACAGGTTTTCAGCAGTTTCGTTCTGAGTCCCAATAAGTTTTACTTGACATTGGACTTTAAAGTCAAGCATTGCCTCGCAATGGGTTTTACTCATTGACTTCTTTGAGGCTGGGATGGAGGATGGCCTTTTCATGAAATTCAAGGAAGGGATCCTCTTCCCCATCGAAGGACCCCCGACTCCCAAGAGGTCCTAACTGAAAATGTCCCATATTTCCCTCTGTGGGTAAAAGGAGATATCGTGTCCAGGGAGAGCCCGTCTCACCCCAGGTGTGGGGCAACCACACCAATATCAACTTCAGCCTTTGCTGACAATAATGGGCTCGGATGGCAGCATGCCGCACATTCACTTGCAAGCTGCGCATGAGCGCCCAAAGAGCATGCTCTGAGTGAGCTGCTGTCAATACATGAAGCGCGGCACCTCCAAAGCTGGGTACTGCAGCACCCTTGGAACACATGCCCCGGTGACATATTGGCACAGTGACATATTGACAAATGTGAAGCTTCTCCCTGCTGCTACATATCCCGGTGACTTCAAACAACATCACAACTGTACCCTCAGAGTTGCGTGTTTTACCCAACAAGGTCATGTCACACAACCGCAAGCGGCAGTGCTGCCTCAACACCCCTTACCGCTTAAAACCTGGCTCCTGTAAAGTCGAAACCAAAGATACCCGATTTGACTCTAGACCCTCGAACCTCGACCCTGGCATTGGCAAATAGAGGGCCCTGGCAGATGATTAAGAACACCAGGTAAACCTATTTTTCCACCAAACAACCAAAAAGGACACCTATGCATGTCCCTCGCTCGTTTGCGTCTCCCAACCTAGCAGCCTCAAGGCCAAGTGCTCAAGGATGAAAGAACCGAGGGATTCATGGGAGGGTCCATGGACATACTGTGCGTCTCAGAATAGGGGAAATCCCTAAAAATGGTCGGCTTCCTAGTGGTTTCCCTTGAGACCAACCTGAAAAAGGTACCCTCCAAACAACGACAAACCCACATCAAAGCCATGTTTCCTTTGGAAAGCTGTAGGGCTTGTTCCAGCTCTGATCCATGGCTCCAGGAATGGACCCTCCCATAGGTTCCTCCTCGAAACCCATGATATTCCACGAATTTAAATCGGACCCCGGCAACACAATCGCTCAAGATTCGTTGAGCTAGCGGCTCAAAATCGATTAGTCCACCTCCATGTCGTGACGCTCCTCCAGGGGTGTCAAGCATCAATCGAGTGATCCTGAATGGATTCGAACAAATGGGTTCCAATGGAACTCGCTGATTGGAACCCGCATGAACCCGCTTAGGGTCTGAATAAAAGAAAAGGGACATCGTTCAAAACAAGAACGGATCAAGCTGAGAACCCTAGCCTCGCATCCGGTCCAAGGACCTCCATAAACGGGTCCTAGAAAAAGGGTCCTAGTTTTGCGGGACCAGGACGACTCTGTTCAATATACAACTTTGGGCAACTGAGTTGAAAATAGTAAGCACAAACAGCCATACCTCCCGGTAAACCCCGCCCCCTACGCCCATTCCAAACAGCCACAACCGGAATCCAAACAGTTCACTGTCTTTCCTGAGCAACCGAGAACTAGCATCTTGCTTGCTGAGTGCGGGGACCCGACAAGGATTGCTTACTAATCGATGTCTGAAAGTACAGAGTGCAGGGATGATAGACGCATATGCCAAACACCGACCAGAACCGAGTTTCATTCCAGACCGACCATGCTCTTCGCAGCCAGGGCGCCATGCATCCTACTTTTACTGCCCAGCAAATGTGGCACGGTCAAACCACGGCCATGGTTCTCTTGATATCGTTCTCTTCTCTACACTCCCGACTTCATGACGATCCTTTCTTTGACGGCCTATATCGTTTGGGTCCTATTTTGAGCCCTCCCCCCCCCAAACGCTCTGCCCGCTTCCACCCAGTCCGTCGACTGGCCCTGCCAATCTTCACGTGCCAGAGGCCCCCCGGCTGCCAACTCGCCAATGGCTTGGTCGGCCTCCTGAGGGCCATGCTGACCCAAAGCCGAGCATGTCGCAAATCCACGGAACCACTCCAGTTGGTCGTCCCCAATGTGCACTAGGTTTCATCTCAACTGCTGGAGGTGGTTGTCCATCCACAGTTCTGCAAACTGAGAAACGCGCAGTAACCCTGAAGGATGATGGGAAATCCTACACTTCCTCCGGCACGGCTTGCCTCCCAGTTTTCCTTGCCAAACTGGAAGTGTTTGTCGGGGGCTTTGTTCGTCATCCTTGAAACACATGTATCCATATAGAGAGATAGGTAAGATGAGAAGCGCAGATAAGACACTATACTATGAATTGAGATTGGATGAGATGAGATGAGGTGCGTTAAGAGCAGGTGACATTAGATGAGACGAGATGTGATAGGACTAGTTACTGTAGTCTAAGATTGATTGTTGGGCCCGCAATATTCAGAGCCAATCTCGTTTGGACTCCTGCTGTTGAGCTTGTAGCTGCCTCAGGTGCGGGGGGCCGGCCGCAAAGAGCGCCAAGTCGTCCAGCAACGCGGGGCTGTCAAAGGGGTATCTCGACTCGTCCGCTCCGGGAACTCCAGTTCCTGGACAGGGGGGCGTCATGCGGGTGTGGGCCCAAAATAAAGCAAGGGGACCGCAAGTTTTAGTCCTTTGTTCCATTTACCAGGGCTCAATTTTGGGTACCTATTCTTGACCCACAGCCATGTGCTTGGTGGCAAAACGACTGCTTACAAGCTCAGGTTTTTTGGTTTTCGCTTGAGGGGAATGGCAGCTGGCAAGCATTCGCGGCCACAGCTCCTGCCAGATGCTGCGCCACAGTCTCGAACACCGTCCGCAGCTCCAAATAAACCCCTTGAGCAGCAGTCTTGTGATGCCCGGGCTGTCTGAGGAGACCCCCCAGCAAAGCGCAGTGGTGGTCCTTCCACGGACCTTCCCAGCGAGGCCACGTGGCAGTGGGGGCACACAGCAGGCGCCAAAGCAGGAGGAGAGAGGCAGGATGATCCACAATCCCCAGCAAAGCTTCGGAGATCCGTGCAAGCGGCGCCGCCTGCACGTCCAACCTGGGACCCCTCCCATACAAATAGCCATCAACATCCTGACGGACGCAAAACAGAGTAACGGACTGATGTCCCCAGTCGCAAGTGCACTTGACCTCGCAGTTCCCGCCATGACCAGTATCGGAGTCAGCGCAGGAGTCCTCGTTTGCTGTAAAATGCAAAGTGAAGCTGCCGCGCTCCTGCAACTCCAGGTGTAGCGACGTCTCGTATCGAATCCACGAGCCAAACCCAAAATCTGACCATTCATGGAGCGGGAGAACGCCTAGGCCCTCCCTGGGTCTAAAGTTGTGACAGCTTAGGCTCTGCTCAGCGCTTTCCACAGTGCACCGGGTCCAAGTGGCTACCCTGGGCAATGCCCGCGCCCAAGCAGCCATTGCCGGCTGCAGGCTGCTCTGCGCCAGAGCCAGTGCCAAATCGGAGCCCATCGAGGCCCGCCGCACTGCAGCGCGCAGGTTCACCTGGCAGCAAATTGGTGAGCACGCGAAGCTGAAGGACCCGTGCAGCGATGTGAGAGGCTTTGACCACTGCTCGCGTTGTCTATCTTAAAGCGAAGAACCGCCCAAAACCAGCTAAGGCATCCAGCAAAACTTGGGAAAGCAAAACTTCCTTCGGGAAAAAATGCCCTACGCCAATTGGCACGTGCAATGGACAAGGTTCATGGCACTTTCTGCAAGGTGTTTGTTGGTGCATCTTAGGTTTCATGTTGGCACCCCCATACTGTGGTCGGTCCGTTGGCCAGCTGGTCGGCTAGTGTCGTTTTAACGTAACATGAAGTAGATCGCGTCAATGCAAGCGTCTTCCTGACTCCAAAGCGCCCCTAGCCAGATGTTGGTAGTTTCTGAAATCGTCGGATAGGCACCCGGATCCGGCACCCAAACGCGCGGACCGCTCGCTTCCGAGAGCGACCGCGCTCGCCACTAGACCAACTCTTGGACCTTGAGTAAGTACCAAAAAACATGTGTTTTTCACCCCTTAGACGCAAGACCAACGTAGAAGGTTCGCCGGCGATCAAAATCAACGCAAAACCCCACGAGGCTGTGCAACTCAGGCGTGCGATGCACGCAGTGTTTTCGGCTCGGACATGCGGGGATCCACGCAAAGGGTCAAGAAAATCACATTTTCTACCCTAGGCAGTGTGCAGTTGACAATGTGATTCATTCAGGCTGTGAACTTGAGGCTCGGACACGGAGCAGCTGCTTTTTTAAGAGCTCTCGGGACAAAAGGACTACAAGAAAAACCACTCACCACGGAGGGTCAGCCTGTTGTTTTTCTTCAGTGCCGGGTCTTGTCTGCGCCGCCGCCTGGCGGTAGGCCTCCAAAAGCCCGGCCCTTGAGATGCCGTTGGGAAGCTTCTCCACGGGCTGCAGGTCATCTGGATGTATCACCTCTGATCCAAAGACTGCTGAGGCATGGTCAACAACCATACCTGTAGCACCCTTCGTAGCCCAAACGTATTGCAAAACCAAGGGTCGTCACCAAAATATGGTAAACGTACACTTTTTCCTTCTTCGAGCGTTTTTGCCAAAACCGGGCTGGTCGGTCCTCCAGGATGATCGGTCGTTGAATTTTCGAAAGGGCGAGCAGAAGTCGAAGTGCAAAACGAGCGCGCATATCCGCAAACGAGTGTGAATTTAAAAACGTAACAATGCCCGCCTTTTTCTGGATGGAAGAAGGGGACTTGGTCGAGCGTTTTTCGGTAGGCGAGCTTTTTTTAGGGGGTCGATCAGAATCCAACACAGAAACTTTCATCTTGGGGTCAGCTTGTGAGATGTTTTTTGTTCTTTTTTTTTCCGGGATTCTACCCAAGTCGCACCCCAGGCAACCAGCTGACTTGGATAACCCCCAGTCGAAATAGTGACCCCCACTGGCCCCCGGCATTCTCTCCGTCCACGGCACGCTCGCGCGCGCGAAGGCGCGCAGCTGCCAGAGCCAGGCCGCTTGAAGGTGGCGCTCCAGGCGCCAAGGCCAAACAGCCAGGCCGAGGCCTTGTGAATGAACCAACTTAAAGAACCATTGTAATGTTGACCCAGGATTAATACACCCGTCCCATTATTAGGAGGGTGTTCCCTCCAAAAGTGAGGAATCCCCACTAAAAGGGGACACCCCCCTATTAATCAACCACAGGTTTATTAATCCGGGTTAACATTACTTAGTAAGTGGGTAATAACCATGGTTATAACCCACTTACCATGGTTATAAGTCTCCTAAGTGGTTGAAGGGAATACTTACCATGGTTATAAGTTGCTGGTGCGACAGGTAGGGAATGAGACATGGAATGACCCCCACGAACAATCCAAAGCGATGGGGATCCTCAGACTCAACACCGAACCCAAAGACTTGCTGGTGCTCAGGGAGTATGGTTGAACACACCGAGGCTTTGGTCTCCTTAAACAAACCACCAGTTGGATGGTTTATAAGGGTCATTCCGTTACTCATTCCCTGCGGAGAACCAGCAAGATGAACAGGGCAAAGCGTCGTTGACTCTGAACATGAACCCCCAAAAATCGCGCATTCAGGCCCGTCCTTTTGGGATCCGGACCCCTGTTTGGGGTTCCATGTGAATTTGCAGGGGTGTGTGCAAAGCCACTTTGCTTACGCATCTACCCTTTCTTCCAATAAAATGGAACTCACCAGAAGGTCCCTTTTAGAGAAAACAAATCCGGCACTCCCATGGTCGCATTCCATGTTGGTGGATGGGAGGGTATCCCCACAGTGTCTCTTTATCTCAGATAGTGTCCAAGCCACGGCAAAGGGAGTGCTCTGAACCAATGTTGATTCGTCAATCTGAAACAAGGGCTGCCTACCAAAGGCGCCTTCATGGGTGAGGGCGCACCCCTCGTCAGGTCGAATTCCGGTGATGGGAAGGCTATGGGTCTCAATACTTCACTTTAACAAAGGATTTTCGAAGGGACGTAGATGGTGCAAACACCGCCCGATGAATCCTAATCTGATTGCGCGGTTGTCACAAAAGGCCCCGAGTGCCAACTCGCAAACACGCAGGACCCATACGAGTGTCACGCCTTTTGGATTGTAGCGAAGGTACATTACCCCATTGTTAAAACATGTTGGAAACTCCAGCCACTAGTAGGTCTTCATTGCCATAGTTCGATCGTTCGCAATTGCCCAGGCATGTCTATAGCGTGGGTGTTGGCAACCGGAGTTTGCCAGGGGTTGAAAGCCTAGCTGACATGGAAAAAAGGCTCTTTCATCCAGCCTGACAATGCGTTTTTGACCGAAAGGTTCAGACACTCGCTGGACCCGCCACGTGTTGTCCTTTTCGGGGAACAAACATCTGTTTATAAGCAATGCACCCCTCGCTTCGCAGATTATATTTGTTTGTGTTGTTTCGGGCCCCCCTCACATCATCAGGCATTCATCTTGGTGTTTCAATCAATAGGATCCTTATTGACACCAACGCAGGTGTGGAACAGGGGCGTACTCTTCCCCAAACGTCTGTCCCTGGCGCACGGGTCAAAAGTGTATGGAGGGGGCGCCTGAATGTTCCCCTTTTGGGTGGAGGAAGTACGCTGACTCGGTTGTTCAGTGACCCTGGAGAAAAAAAAGGGAACCCTTTTTTTGGGAAGACCGTTTTTAGTGGGGCAACCACCCCAAGAAAAAGGGAACAAGAATTGGTGCCACTGAGCCACTGAGCTGAGGTACCCCTTTTGCCGGGCCGCAGGTGCCCAAGAACCAGCCGCTGGCATGGGCTTCCCGGAAGACGCCCTGCACGCGGCGGCTGCTTTGCCACAGGGCCGCCAGGGACCGCAGAGGCAAAAACCCCGCCACCTCGAACACCACTCGACGGAGTCGACTCCAAGAACATACGGCGCGCGCTTGCTGTGACTGGCAGACGAGTTTTCCAAAACGGGTGGACATAAGCCCGCGCATGACTTCCAGCAAAAGGGGCCCGACTAGCAATGCCCTCGCAACCAGCCGCAAGCCTACAGGCTTTCCGCTCCTTGCTCGCACGATTCAGGGGATCAGTTGCACACAAGTCAGTCCCCTGGCCAGGAACGCCCCGAAGCTGCTTTTGGAGCCCAGCCTTGGGGAGCTCGTTGGCATCCGCCAGCCGCATGGTTTGCTCGACTTTGGAGCACATTGCGAAACGCCGAAACGCATAGAAGCGCCGAAGCGCCAAGGGCAAAGATGTTGACAAAAAGAAATGCAACTGCCGCCTGTTTGGCGCATTTCTCGTGTTCTGGGATCTTGGTCGCGCACTTGCTATGACTTCCAAAACTCCGGAAGACCCTTGAGTACGAAAGTAGCTCTGAGTAGGAAGGTCTGCGCTTTTGAACAGTTGCCCTTAACATTCAGGCCTCTTGTGCGCGTGTCAGCCTGCTCAATGACTTCTATGAGCAAAAATGCCCAACAGCACTTCTGGGAATATCATCAGTGCCTTGTTGCTTGTCGTTCTGAGCAACCAAAGACTTCTCCCATTTAGAGACACACAGGCCCAGAAAGAAAGCTTCGAGCCATTCAACGGCAGGGATTTCGGGGAAGGACTCCATGTGGCATGCTTAGAAGCTTCCATTTACTCAGCATGGACAGCAGAACAAATGGCGCAGGCCGATTGTTGACGTGCTAAATGGGCCAAACAACAACTTTCAAACTCAACCTGTCTCTTGCCGATGTTCAATGGACCTTTCGGGGTCCCGCCGCCCGCCCCGCACAACTTCTCAAGTGGCACCCGGGCGAAATCCAACACACGCTGCAATTCAGGTCTGAAGCCACTAAGAAAAGATACCAAACTCAGTCCAAGACGTTTGGGTTAGGGCCATCCCTAATAAAACTGCATATCACACTATTCACAATAGAGGAGTCTCCATTTTTTTAGCCCCTGTTTGGTTCCATGGTTATTTCCTTGAGAGTGTTTTTGTTTTTCGGCATGAGCAGCGCTTCCGAACTGCCACCCCAAGCCAAACACGCCGGCGGGGCTTCTCTTGCAGAGCGGCCTGCGCGATGGAAAGCGTTGCTGCGTTGCAACCAGGGTGTTGTAGAACGCACTGAACGAATTAGTTGCTGTTTGTTTGCAAGTAGTGGGCATCTAAATGGAAACAAAGAAGAAATGAAGTGGCAGCGAAGTGCGCGGCATGGCCAACAACCGAACCCTGAACGTGGTTCACCGCTTATGGAGTCCCGGATCGCGCTGTCACACAGTTGGCCAAGACGAACAACCCGGCGCCAAGTTGAAAGGCTTGCAAATCAAAGTAAACCCATCAATCAAGAATCCAAGATGAAGCTCAACCAGGAGCAGTGTAGCCAACCACGCTGTGCCCTCCAATGGGCTGGCAACTCCCCGAAGCCCTCAGCTTGGCCTTTGATCGAGAGGGAAGACTGGCTGTGACAAGAGGAACCTGCAAAGTCGTAAAGTTGACTCACTCCATTCAGGGGGCTCCTCGGCAATCAGGCAGGTGATATGATGTAACATGTTCACAGAATGCACGAGGCAGGTCAAAAGGGGTTGGCGCTTTGGGAGAATGAGGAAGGATTGACATGGAGATTTCTGCGCCGCCATGCTGCCAACCAGTGCGCACGCAACGGAAAAACAATACACAAAGAAACAAAAGAAAGAGTCAAAGAAAGCAAGAAAGAAATCATGAAAGAAAAGAGTCAAAGAAATAATGAAAGAAAGCAAGCAAGCAAGCAAGCAAGCAAGCAAGCAAGCAAGCAAGCAAGCAAGCAATAAAGAAAGACAAAAGGAAAGAAAGAAAGAAAGAAAGAAAGAAAGAAAGAAAGAAAGAAAGAAAGAAAGAAAGAAAGAAAGAAAGAAAGAAAGAAAGAAAGAAAGAAAGACAAAAAGAAAGAAAGAAAGAAAGAAAGAAAGAAATAAAGCAAGAAAGAAAGAATGAAAGGAAGGAAGGAAGGAAGACCCAGCACAGCGAGCGGAGGCAGCTCAAGACGGCGGGGAGCGTGGTCGCCGAGAAGGTGGTGAAGCTCACCCAGAAAGGAAGAAATAAATAACTAAACAAACAAGCAAACACACACACACGTGCAGGAGTCGAAACAAGCAGAGGCACCCACAGCAGAAGTAGAAGAAAAACGTGAAAAAGAGTTTCGTGAGGCTCGCCGTGCGTGTGACCTGTCTCTTCAGAGCCAGTGGTTCCACTACAAAGGCTTTGCCAGGCACTGGCAGATTACAAGCAACCAAGAAAGGAACAGGCAAGAAACCTCAACAGCCCTTAGAAAAAGGGTTTGCACGAACACACACAGAGACAGAGACACACAGACAAGCGCACAAACTTACAGGCACAAATACCGACATGTGTGTGTGGATAAAATAACCTGTATACACCTATTCATACACATGTCTCATGCTGCTCTCGCTGGGCGCATATCAACTGTTGTTACGCTGGTAGGGGCAGCGTAGGTTCAAGGCAGGCTCTTGCGACCATGGATCTGAGTGGTCAAGCTGCAATGGAGCACCTCCAGTGCTACATTTACACATCCAACCTTCAACTCCCGGGGCAAAGGGCAAACACCTCCTGCAGTGGTCAACTTTCCGGATCCGGCATAATAAGCCCTAACTGCTTGCAGGAAGGGCTGGGTCCCTGATCGCTGGAAATCGTGGTCTCACGAGGGGATGGATTGCCGCCCGCCACCGCTCAAGCATGGAACCCTGCGAGATGTCCCCAAGCATTTCATGGAATGTGTGTACCTGCATTGCCATGGTCAATTGCCAGCGTGTTGGAGAGGATCAAGAAGGAAGTGTTGTGACGGTTCACGAGCGTCCCATCCAAGGCATTCTTAAAGTTGCTCATATCCCCGTTACCAGCCAACTGAGAGTGTCTTTTTTGGGGTACCATTTTTTGTGGCTTTGAAGGAAAGCCAACAGAAAGTCCACTATTGTGGGGGGGCTCCCCAACAAAAAGACACCTGCCAAATTACAAGGACATCCCCACTCCCTTGGAGCCCCTGGAGTCCTGGCTCAGCAAGTTGTAGCTGGTATCATTGCATTGCCGGGTATGTCGGTATGTCGGTATGTCGGTATGTCGCAAAGCAGATCGCATGAGAAACATGGACCCTTCCGGGGAATCCATCAGACTCACGTGCCATGTGAAAGTCCCCTCGCCTCGTCTCTGGCCTGCTTGTCCTCTTGCCACCGTCTCGCCCGCTCTTCCTCCTGCAAACCGAAGACCGAGCGGGTTCAAGTTGAAGCCGCCGTGCAAACTGGAAAATGCAGTTTGCTCTTGAGGTCCGTCACTGAAAATCAGAAGGCTCTCGGTTGCATTGTTATTTGCAGGGTATATACTGTGTACGCATAGTGTGATCCATTTACCTCCGGATATACTAGCTGGGTCGAGCAAGTCAACACTAGGGAGCGGCAGCCGTGTGGCCAAACAAACTGCACCTTCACCCTGCTGGTGTGATAGGCACTGAGTGAGAAATGGCATGACCCGTATAAAGCATCCCACTGGTGTTGTTTCCTTGGTTCGGGAATCCCCTTCCGGTTCATTCCCACATTACCTCTCGCACCAAGTCACAACAAGGATGCGCCGAGGTCTCCCCGTCAGGAAGAAAAAGGGCCACCTGTTTGTTTGCCTGGCGTTTAAAGGGGACCCAACCAAAAAGGAGAAAAAAACAGCATGCGCGTCTCTTCTTCCTCACACTCCCGCAGCCATTGGAGACTTGGGACTTCATGCGTGTCTCCTTCTGCCACCCCTTCCATCCCTTTGGATTCGCAGGCTGCCAATTTCCGGGGCTCGAAGCCTACACCAAACTCCAGGGCCTCTTACGCCGCACGCCTTCGACGGACGCCGCGCGCGAGTGCGCGAGTGCGCGAGTTCGCTTTGTCGCGGCACTTCGGCGGCGGCGTTCGCTTTCAGCTCACTCCAGGGACTCGGAGCTGGCAGAGCTCTCCTCACGGCATGCTTTGAGGGTACCCCACTTTTCTGGCTGGCGCGACAGGTAGGGAATGAGGGAATGAACCAGAAGGGGATTCCTGGAAGGAAACCACCAGTTGGAGGGTTCATAGGGGTCATTCCCTCGTTCCCCTCAGCCAGCAAGTCTTCGGACAAAGGAACTGCTGGGAACGAACAGCTTGTCCTTCCCCTTCCATGGCCGAGAATCACCCGAACTCTGTGATACCAATCTGGGTCATTTTTATGTATGTTTTACCACTTTGCCTCGAATCACAGAAAGTGACCCTCAGCTTCCCTCTTGGTGGTTTGGTGGTTTGGTGGTTTGCAGAAGAAGTGGTTTCCTGCTTATGTACAAGAATCAGTGGCTTGAAGGGGGGGGAGCTGATTCCCATGCGGAAAACTGGCTGGTGGCTTCCTGGGCAGAGTATCACAGGCGATAGCTGGTGCCAGTCTCTGTAAATGCGCAAGAGAAATCATAGCATGGAACTGCCGCCCAATTCAAGCATGTCAATGCTCCTCATCTTTGCCAAGCTTTATCCTAAGAAAGAATGATGCCAGCTGTGTTTTTGCATCTCACGTCCCAAAGCCCTGCTTGCGCCTCTCTCGGGCCTCGCACTGCGATGCTCTCTCAAGAAAAGGCCCATGGCACACCACGGGAAACAGCCAAAAAGGTTGCGCCGTATCAAAGGAGTTCGACCAACGCAAGGACCCAGCAAGGCACCCACCTCTATTGACCGGGAAGTCACACAATGCCCAAGAGACTGATTTCGGGCTGGAGTTGTTATGTACCCAGCGTCGTCTTTCCCTAGTTGCCCAACAGCCAATTCTCCATCCCTCGTGGTTTCTTTTGTGGGAAGTAAGAACTGCGAGCGTTTGAACCGCTTGACGCTTCGTCCTCTCCGCTGGAGCTCTGCTCCAGATCCCAGGTGTAGAGCGGCGGCTTCACGCAATTCACCAGGCAACGGCCAAGGAAGTAGAAGATGGTCAGCATCGACAGCAGGGCTGTGTAGCCTTAATCAAAAACCCATGCGACTCTCCGACTCGCAGCCTGAAAATGTGTTGCCAAGGAAACCGCTTGTGGATACCTCCTCGTTCGGTGCTGCTGTTACCCACTGTCTGGGGAGAAAGCAAGTGCCATGACAAGCGGCCGATGAGTACCAAAGGGTACCGCCAGTCAATGAAGAAATAGAAGAAGAAGTGATGAAAAGCGTAGAAGATCCAGGAGAAGACCACGTAGAGGCCACCATAATAGAAGACAAATATAAAGTGATAAGAGGTGATACACAATCGATTCAGCAGCGCCTCGGTGAGCATAAAGACAAAATTCAGGTTGTGCGCCGCCAGGGACGACGCTGAAAAGAGGCCCATGTCAGTGCCTGTGGACTTGTAGGCAGCCGGCAACAAGATCAGCCACACCGCAAGAAAAATCAGGAAGGACACGGGCAGCATGACCTGGTCCAATTCCAGTTTCACAGCTTCACCGGAAGGGAAACTGTTGGGTTGACCCCATTGGCCTGCCTTTTTTCAAGGAAACCACCATCTGGCAGAATCAAGGATTGTTTTTGAACGACCCAGCCAAAGCTGGACAGGCGCGACTTTGTTTCGTTGGTACTTCTCCGGGCCGCGAGCAAAAGGGCCAAACAACTCATCTGCCTATTTTGGCACTCGGCTGAGCATGCCTAAGACCTCGCCAATCTCTCATGAAAGTCCAGCAGAAGACAACATATTTTTTTTCAGGGAAGCACCTGTGCGGCCTCAAGGTTGGTGGGAGGGTGCCCAGAGATGAGGTGTGGAATCATTGCAGCATAATGATTGGGATGTTGGATGTAAAGGCCAACTTGCATTCGTCAAACCCTTGCTGTTTTGTGTTCTTGCAACATCCCTGCCCAGGCTGGTACCAATAGCGCATCAAGACTAGCACGAACCCAGGACACTGGGTCTGGTCTGTGCAAACAGATCGTCACAGGCGTGCGCCCCAAAGACACAGCGCCCAATCTCCGGCTGCGTTCGACCGCCCACGCTGCCCTCGCACACGCCCCGGGCTGCAGAACAGCAGCAAACACATGGGTGTTTCCAAAAACGAGTGCCTCATTTTTTGATGGTTGCCTGAAGAATCTCCGCCAAAGCCATCCAATACTTGGAGTGCCTTGTTTCTTGGTGACAACAACGGAGAAGGGCAACAAATCCCTTGGCTCGGCCCGTCTCCCCCTGTGCCTCGAAGAGGAGCCAAGCGATGCGGCACAGGCACCGTGCCGACCGCAGCTCGTCCCCAGGGGCCTCGGGCGCCTTGCCAAGGGCCGACAGCACTGAAGCGAAGCCGGCCAGGCCCATGTAGACCCCGATCCTCCGCTGAGCCAAAGCCCGGTACAAAAATGGTCCACCCAGAGCCATGTAAAGAACTAAGACGGCGGAGATCCGCAGCTATTTTATGGTTGGGATCGTCCCTAACCTTCACTTACCCGGGTTTTGATTGTGACTCAGCTGGGAAATTAGAGCTCGGCTCCAAATTCGTTGTGGGGACATGTGGTGAGTCCCCCATGGCCCATGTCCCCAGATGCACCATGGATGAATGGAAAATGTGGACCGAACCTCAGGTCTAGCTGTGCTAGGGGGGTTTAACTGGACAGTACTGATTCTGACTTGTGCTTCCCTCCTCCCAAAGGAAGAAGCAACCTGAAAGACAACAGATCAACTTGTCGCCCTTCATGGGATTTGCCAGGATCCACCGATGCATGCCTCCATGTTTCAGGCTCAACGATGCTCCGGTCGGCTCGGAGACAACCCTGGGAAAAAGTGTATTGGAGGCAATGCCGCCCAAGTGTTCGGGGCATCCCAAGGTTGTGATGTTCTATCTGCTTAAATGCATTTGCACCCGACACCAACACCACAAACCAACAAATTCCGGCCCATCCCAACAGGTTAGCATTCCACATCTTCAGCGCTATGTGCTTCCCCTCAGCGTGTCTGCTCATAGCCTGCGGCTTCTTCTTGCATGCGGGCCATCCACCACAGGGTTGATCTGTTGGCCCTTCCAAAAAAACAAGAGCCCCCATCCCTTCGCTGGCCTTCGGGGTTCAGCGACACCTTGGGAAGCACACGTGAGTCATAGTCAAAACCCGGTCGTAAAATGGTCCACCCAGCACCATGTGAAGAGTTGAGAAGGCGGCCGCAGCTATTTATGGTTGGGATTGTCCCTACTAACCTTCATCTACCCCGGTTTTGAGCACGTGGCTCACATGTTCAGCAGAGCAAGGTGGACAGAGCCGGGCGCCACCAAAACATGGGCGCCGAAAGCGGCGGAAGCGCGGCTAAAGTTCTCCGGGGCGCAGCGTCCAGCTCCACACGGTGAAGGTGGCGAAGACGGAGAAGCCGCCTGCCGCTCGACCGCGGGGCGCAGGTCTGGGACGCTATGGTGACACGTCGCCAAGCCGACAAACGGAAAAACAAGGATCACAAATCTGGGCTGATTCGTGTGACAAACGGAATCCACCGCACTCCCAGTAGACTGTAAGCCTCAGAAAGGAAGCTTCGGCTGTCGCAGAAGCCTCAGAACTGAGCTCAGAATTTGCCCTCTTGGCGCCCGTTTCGGAGCGCCTTTGGGCAGCGCGGCCCAATTTGGGTGTAGGATGTTCAGCCCAGGAAAGCACTGAGCAAGGATTGTGTTTGAACAAGCCAATACAATCGGGATTCAACCATTGTGTTTGAACAAGCCAATACAATCGGGATTCAACCCACAAAGAATTTCTTGGGGGCCCTTTTTGTTTCCCTTGCATTTTTAAGCCTTGAATGAGCACCCAATTTCCCCCGCCCCCCGCCCCCAGCGCACACCCCATGGCCCGGCCTACCAAGGGGTTCTCCGGATCCCGGACCACCATCACCACATCCACCACCAGCACCATCAGGCAGCAGAAGATGCGGAAGGCTGCCATGAAGGCCGCCGAGCACTTCCGTGAGGACTGGGCGATGTGCTCCCACTGCAGCCTGTTCCACTTCCTTAGAGCACCCCTTCCGTGGGTAATGCCACACATTCTTTCGTCGGCACGGGCAAAATGTCGACGTGCCCCTGAATAGTCAAAAGGGTCAACAATGGCCAACAGTAGCGCCTGTCAGTTGCTTGCAAGCCTATCAACGGTGTACCCTGCTATTGGAGTCAATCAAACGCAACGATGCTGATGTCCAGCGCCATTGAGTGAAAGGAACGAGACTTTGTAGGTCGCAAACCTGACCCATCATAAGTTTTCCCCATTGAAGGGGAAGACTTCATACAGCACAAGCTCCACGAACCTCCACGAACCCTGCCTTTCTGAGGGAAGTATAGCCCATGAGTCCGCCGTAAACGTGAGCAACACTTATGTTTGATCTTGGAATCTTCCGGAAGCAACTAAACGTGAGGCAAGTTGTTGCACAGCGAATGACGTGCGCATGAGATAGGGATGATAGGGATGTGGCTTCCTTGTGTGCAAACTGATTTCGCACCATCAGCAACCGCAAGGACTCCGGCCTCATGGACTCTGCGCCCATGCTTAACAGTCCTTGAGGTGTTCTAGGAATGGTTGACTCATTGGGATTGGGGGAGGGGGGGGCATGCTGCATGAGGCAATCCACAAGGATTGCTTGAAAGCAGAATCCGACGCTGTGGACTGGGTGCCTTCCACTGCCAACTACATCTCCACTGTTGAGCCAACCCGATGGATTGTCCACACTGATGGACCTCTTTGGGACAGTTGTCGAGGGCTTTTGTCGGTCCCGGTTTTGACACACAGCATGCAGAAGTGTTGACACCCTGGCATCAATACGGAAGACCGTGAGACACCATGGTGCGTTGGGACCCCGCGAGACCCCGAAGTGCCTGCGAGGGGTTCAAGAAACAGTAGCCCACCAAAAGTGCCCTGGGCCATGTTGGTTTCACCCATCCGCCAAAAAAAAAACTAAGTATGTCCCCAACGGTGATTACATCACTCATCACGACCCCTGCCCCACTCTCCGTGTGATAGCCTCCAGGCGTCATGCGCCTTCGGCGCTCCCAGAAGATTTGCAAAGGGATCAGAAGCAGCAACACCAACACAACATAGATCACAGCTAACATCTGCCACTTCCCTGCATCCTCCGGGTCCGCCGGCGGAGCCGACACGTCCATGGCGAAATGCGATCTGCTGTGGGTGCATGCGCTTGTGCGGTTCTACGTAGGGGTTGTGGTGACCCTCTTGGACACCCTAAAAACCTCTACTTCGCCTGCTCTGCCCTCTGAAACAAGCGTCTCAAAGTTTAGGCTCAGCCAACGAAATGGCTCAAAGGAATACAACCCGCTGCCAGAATCCTCAGATCTGCCTCAGACCTTGCAAGGGAGAGCTGATGGATCCAGTCACAAACCGTGCGCCGTTCTTTAAGATTGCTGCCGTCTGCTGACGCGTGTGAGGCGGGCTGTGTTTGCGCCTTGCCCTTGGCTTGGTCAACTTGACAGGGCCGCGACGAGCTGCTGCTGCTGTTCGTGCCCCCTTGGAATGGTGGTCCTTGAAGCCCTAGCCAAGCACGCAATCTCTGCAAGCTTCCAACACTCCTCATGACAGTCATGAAGGCTACGTGGGGCTTGTCTCTAGCTTGGAAAAGCCCCAAAGTGGGCGGTGTCCTTTTCAACAAACTCGAAAAGGTTCCCTCAAAACAGCCACCTCCGCTTCAGGATGCAGGGCCAAGGACTGCAAGCCCTGCTAGATCGGATTCGATAAGTTGTGTGCTGCCGGGCAGCTGGGCTTGTTCCACATGCTTGTCCGCAACAAATGCTGCCGAAGTCAGGAAGGCGGTGTCTATATCAATATACACATATACATATGGGTGTGGGTCAAAATTGAACCACCAGGGGACCACAGGTTTTGGTCCATGTTGCCACTTACCAGGGTTCCATTTTGGGTACCTATTTTTGGCCCACTGCCATATATACTATGTATAGATAGATTGGTGCAACAACCACATATGCTCTAGTCTCTTGATCATTTGCGCCTGCAATGTACGTAGCTGCTTATCACAACAAACAACACTGCTACACCTGAGACCATGTGAAAGTGAATCCACAGCTAAGGCCTAAGAATCGGCTTCCCAAGTCTTGGAACACTGCTAAGCATCTTCCCTGACGTGCTTGTCCAAAACTCCGCTACTCACGGCGGTCTTTTCAGCTACCTAGGCTTGACTTACTTCCCCAGTGGACATGGTAAAGAATAAACACCACTTGGCCGCCTTGTGTGGGTCAACAAACAGCGTCACCCTATGGAAACTGGGACAATGGCATTTAACGACAACCCCTGGGAAGAATCATTCGGGCACCATCCCTACGACACGGCGTGTGCTAGGGGACCTTTTCTCCTATGTCAGCTTTTCTTAAACATGAAGCAACAAGAGTCCCTGCTTTGGCACATCAAAATATGAATTGCAGAAAACGGCACCCACAGATCCTGTCCCAGCCCCAAATGTTGACGTCGCACAGCTATGAACCCCGAGCACCGAATGAATACGAAGCGCTCTTGTCTGCCGACAAAGCGATGGGCTTGCAGTCTTTGAGAAAGCTTGCTTAGATGGTCCGGGAGTTAGCAAAGTCGTTGGTAATCCGGTTCACCTCACTGCACTGCAAACCCTCGTGAGTTGTGCTTCCTTGCATTCAGCTGACACCCGAACCATCGAAGTTGGTGATTCTCTTGGGCTGATGGGCAGCCAGAAAAATAAAGGCAGCCAAAAGCTGCGAAGACGCTTTTAAGCTAGTTTCTCACTCGGATGTGTGGAAGGCAGCACCCTCCAACCACACGACTCATTATCCTGACAATGGCTACCTACATTCGCTACGTTTAGATGGCCCGCATGAGTCAATGAGTATTTGTTCACCATCTCTATCATCACTATTCCTGAAAGGTCCAGTGCTCGGCCCTACCACAAGCCCTTGCACGATGCACAAAGACTTGGGCGACCGGTTTCAACATGGAACCTGTGTCAAGCATTTCCAGTGCATGTCCTGTTGGTAAACCGCGGATTTTCCTCAGTCAAGCTTTAACACCTTTCTGGGGGTCACGTTTGCCACGGTCACTTCATGAAAGCCCCCCCCCTGTCGCATCACGTCGCCCGAGGCGTTGACATCAACTCCTGAAGGGCCGAAAGGCGAGGCGCGAGGCTCACAGGCCCAGCTGCTGCACGGCGTCTTTGCCCGTGGCCAGATCTGCCGCCACGATGCCCAGCGCAGCGAACATGGCGAAGCGGCCGTTGTTCAGCTCCCGGTTCCGCATGTCCTGAGACAGCGGGCCAAAAGCGAGAGGTCAGTCGTCGCGAGCTTCAAGTTTAGGGTTTAGGGTCTAGATGGTATAAGAGTTGAGCTCGGGTTTTTAAATGTCTCTTGTGGAAGCTGGCGGATTACGGATTTAACTGGCGACACGTTTCCTGGGCTGGGGAGTTCGGTCAAAAGATCCAGAACGTCCGTGTTTCTGTTCCATGCCACCTGCCAGCATCAGCCCTGCCGAAGCATGTTTATAATATTATTATATATATATATATGATATAATGCAACACCCGATTGGGCGTTTGGAGGGTAGGGAGTGCAAGTGCAAAACCTCAACACACGTCGTGCCCTTGCAAAAACCCGGTCGCTCGAATCTTCTGCCCAAAGAACTCGGCCAAACGAGCCGGCTCCTGTGACTTGGGGCCCAAAGTGGGAAAAGGTTCCTTGGATGGAAAAGTAGACCAAAACCTGCGGGGCTCTTCAACTTTTGAGCCACCACGTCTCAACTGTGAACAGCGAAGGCAGGTCATGCCTCGGACTCTGCCGGAAGCTGACGGAGCTCTTGCCTTCGACTCCCCTCTGAGATCCCAAAGGCTCAACGGAAGAAGGGCACCCCTGCTTGATTGCTACGGAAAACGATGGGCCAAAGAAGGATCCTTCTTTAGATTCTCAACATGCAATGCGGATCTGAGCCAAGCACACAAAGCTTACCTCATTCTGCCGGCACAAAAGCTAAAACCTAAGCCCGCAGCTGCTTGCTTGGATACAGCACAACACCAGGCAAAGGCACAGCCTCTCCCCTTCCCCTGTCTTCAAGTATTTTGCCAAAGGCACATTGCTTGTTCTCAATGGGGAATATGGTTTACTAACCCCTACGGTGCTTCCCACCCCAAGCGTTCCGTTCCTCCGTGTACTGGTTCAGGCCCAGCGGGTCCCCGAAGTTGCCTGCGCCCCTCTCAGGGTCCTCCTTCCAGATGGTGAACTCCAACACACCCGCCACCTGGACATGGGAAGAATTATCTTGGGTCTGAAACCGAAGGGCTGCTGAAAGATCTCGTTCCTGGCTGGATGTGGTTTCTTCCCACAACTTGAGGTCCGAGAACTTCCCGACGACTATGGGTGCG